TGGAGTCCTTGGAGGAGAGAATTGGAGACTCAAAATGGCACAAAAACCTCTCAGTGTGGAAAGGAAAATCCAAAGTACCTGAAAAAAGTTCAGTATCTCAGAGTATTAATGAGCCCCACTGAGTGTCAGTACAAAGCTCTCAAGGGATTCGTTAAAGCAGATAATTGGGGCCATGATTGCACAAACCTCTCCCAGAGTCTGGATGAAAAGGGAAACACCAAGTACCTTACAAGAAATGAAGTTCTGGGAGCATGAAGGAACCCCCAGGGCCATTCCTGACCAAGGCTCCCCAGGGACTCCTTCCAGCAGATCCTTGAGGCCACTGGGATGTGGGCTAGGGGGGGATGCTGAGGGCAGGACCAGGGGGTGACAGTGCCCAGCCTGGCTGGGGCTGTGCCAGGAGGCCCCAGGGCCTCAGGACAAGGTGTCTCCTCCCAGCCCTTGGTGGCACAGACCCTGCTGTGCCCCAGGGCACCAAGACTTGGCTTCTCTTTGTCCCCACCTGTCATCAGTGCCTCCAGTTCTCTGCTCTGCCTGGGGCCTGGGGACACTTTCTCAGTCGTGTCCCTCAGTGGGACCCATTAAAAGTCCAAGAAACTTTGGAGTTGGATTCTGACTTGGAGTTCTGGAGAGGTTTCTGCAGCTCCCTCTCAGGGCCTGATGTTCAGGGCCTGAGCACAAAGCCCCAGAGGGTCATTAAAGTCCTTGTGCTGTGTCTGTGCTGCTGAGCTGGGCCGGGCTCCTGGCACAGAGGGTGATCCTGGCAACCAAGCAGAGCTTCAAAAGCACATTTCTCTTGCTGAGCAGCTCTTCTCCCAGCCCAGCAGGGCTGGGGCACTGCCTGCAGCCAGCCCGGGCACAGCACAGAGGCACAGAGAGCTTCAATCAGTCAGGGCTGGGAAGGGGCTGAGAAGTGCCTGGGGCAGAATCACTGCCAGCCCTTGGCACAGGAACCTCTGGCTGCAGGACAATGCAGCTGCAGCTCCTGGAGTGATCTCCTAAAGCTGGAACATCCCAATGCCCACAGACCCTGTGAGTACAACTCTGAGTATTTCTGGTGCAGGGCAGATGAAATGCTTATGAAGTTCTGACATGGTGAGCGGTTCTGATCCGTCATAGAATATTTCCAAGACAAGGATTTTGATAAAAATGTGGAAATGTCCAAAGACTTTGTTTTAGTTTCCTGCTATTGGAAATGGCAGGGAAGGGGGATAAATATTAAAGGTTGATTATGAATTTTGACAAGTGCCTGAGACATCCAAACTGTTACTTTTAGTGCTCAGTAGGTTCACAGGAGATCCCTAATGTGCTTTCAGCCACTCTGCCCATGGACAGCACCAGCACCACCTTTGCTGGAGCCATCAGGCTCAGTCTGAGCTGTCCTTGCTCCAAGCTGCAAACAGAACCTGCCCCCAGCCAGTGCCCAGCAAACAGGCAGGGTTCTGTCAGGCCAAGGAGAGTGCACAGAGATTTGGGGTCTGGGAGTGCTGGCACAGAGAGATCAGGCACAGGGAAACACCTGCAGGAGGAAAATCTCCAGGAAGCAGAGAGAAGATCAGGGAAGGAGAGAAAACAAAAGCCAGAAATGCTGAGGCAGGGAGAGTTTAGAGATGCCCAGAGGATCCCCTCCAGTGCAGCCCCTCCCTCTGCACAAGCCCCCTCCCTCCTGTCCCCCAGCCAAGCCTCTGCCCTCAGGGCCGGGGCTCCAAGGCGTGCAGCCCCTCCTGTGCAGGCAGAGCTGCAGCAGAGCCGTGGGGCAGCTCTGCAGCCCCGGGCCCAGTTCCCTCTGCAGAGCACAGGGCTGGGAGCAGCTGCCCGGCACTGGGGGCTCTGGCAGGGGGCACAGCTGGCTCAGGGTGACACAGCTGTCCCCAGTGCCCGGCTCTGGGCAATGCTGGCAGTGCAGCCAGGGAAGGAGCTGCATCTCCCTTCATCCAGTGCCATCAGAAGGACACTTGGAAGTCTCCCTGAGATTTCAGTCTAAGCTGGGAGCTTCAATGCAGGGTGCAAACCTGTCCTAGAGCATCTCTGATTTATAAGATTGATGGGGAAATGCAGATGTGTTCTGACACTGAAAATGCTGCTGGGTTGGTGAAATGAGCAAGGTGAGTCCTTGGCTCCAAATGTGGAGCTGAGCTGTGGTGGATCCATCTGCTCTCAGCAGTACCTGGTGAAATTTTAGGGGAAGCGTGGGAGGGTGATCACCCTCTACCTGAGAAAGGTTAAAGCCCAGAGAAATTCTAAACAGGTCAGAATGTCAGACCATCTCCCCTGAATCTCCTCTCATCACTTTGCCTCACAGAACTTGCTCTGTTCTCCCTTAGTTCAGAAGAAATGCTGAGGGTTTCTGATATCCGAGACCACCATCAGAGACATGGGGAAGCTTAAAAACGAAAACCCTAGATCTCAAAAACACTTAAACCATGTATGTGTGTTCCAGGGGAGGGTGTACGAGAAATTACTTTGATTTTGGTTACAGGTATCTCCTCTAACTTTTCACTGTCCTTTCTCCATGACCAGGTGCCCATGTGCAGCCACAGCAAATGTCCAACAGCAGCTCCATCAGCCACTTCCTCCTGCTGGCACTGGCAGACACGCGGCAGCTGCAGCTCCTGCACTTCTGCCTCTTCCTGGGCATCTCCCTGGCTGCCCTCCTGGGCAACGGCCTCATCATCAGCGCCGTAGCCTGCGGCCACCACCTGCACACGCCCATGTTCTTCTTCCTGCTCAACCTGGCCCTCAGCGACCTGGGCTCCATCTGCACCACTGTCCCCAAAGCCATGCACAATTCCCTCTGGGACACCAGGAACATCTCCTACACAGGATGTGCTGCTCAGCTCTTTTTCTTTCTGCTCTTCATCTCAGCAGAGTATTTCCTCCTGACCATCATGTGCTACGACCGCTACGTGTCCATCTGCAAACCCCTGCACTACGGGACCCTCCTGGGCAGCAGAGCTTGTGCCCACATGGCAGCAGCTGCCTGGGCCAGTGCCTTTCTCAATGCTCTGCTGCACACAGCCAATACATTTTCCCTGCCCCTGTGCCATGGCAATGCCCTGGGTCAGTTCTTCTGTGAAATCGCCCAGATCCTCAAGCTCTCCTGCTCCAAATCCTACCTCAGGGAACTTGGGCTCATTGCTGTTAGTGCTTGTTTGGTATTCGGATGTTTTGTGTTCATTGTGTTCTCCTATGTGCAGATCTTCAGGGCTGTGCTGAGGATCCCCTCTGAGCAGGGACGGCACAAAGCCTTTTCCACCTGCCTCCCTCACCTGGCTGTGGTCTCACTGTTCCTCAGCACTGTTGCATTTACCTACCTGAAGCCCCCCTCGATGTCCTCCCCATCCCTGGATCTGGCCCTGTCAGTTCTGTACTTGGTGGTGCCTCCAGCCCTGAACCCCCTCATCTACAGCCTGAGGAACCAGGAGCTCAAGGCTGCAGTGTGGACACTGATGACTGGATGCTTTCAGGAGCATTAAACTGCTGGACAATTTATAACCAATCACTTGTAATAAATGTCATCTTTGATACTTGTTGTTCTTTTCCTTTTGGAGGTTCTTTTTCTTTGTTTTTCTTTTCTAATCTTGCCCACAAAGAAAAGCCATTCCTTGTGCCATTTCTCATTTTGTTTTTCTCCACCTTCCCTGTGGCCACAGACTGTGTCAATGAGGGGCTGCACTCTTGGGGACTTTAAAGGAACTCGAGGATATTCCTGCAAAGTTTTCTGCAGAGATGCCCTTTTGTTGCCTTCTCTGGAGCTGCAGCAGCAATGTCTGTGTGCAGAGCTGGGGCAGATCAGTGCTGGCACAGCAGCTGTGCCCAGGAGCAGCAGCACTTGGTGCTGCCAGTGCTGCTCCCGTGGCCCTGCCCCGCTGCCCTGGTGGCCCTGGTGTTGCTGCAGGGCCTGAGTGCTCTCGGGGCCGGGCACAGTCCTGGGGGTGGCAGTGCCGGGGCTGCAGCAGGGACAGGCCATGGGCACTGCTGGGGCAGCGCTGACGCCTCAGGCCAGGGCCTGGGGGCTCCAGGCTCCTTGCCCAGGCTCTCTCAAGAACACGGCCAGGCCAATGCTCAGCACAGAAAACCCCCGTGAGCAGCCCCAGGCTGGCCGTGGGCAGGCTGGGGGCAAACAGCACGGCTGGTGCTCTGCAAGGGCCCTGGGGGAGACGGGAAGGAGCAGCAGAGCAGGGGCTGATCCATCCCCAGTGCGCTGCACAGCCCAGGGCAGCGTCCCAGAGCGTCCTCATGGAGCTGCCAACAACATCCCCCCTCTGCAGCCCTGGCCTCTCCCCCAGCTCACAGAGGTGCCGCATCCTTGCAGGCACAGACACGGCAGCACTGGCTCAGCAGCCCCTGTTTGCATTGCACACAGCAGGCGGGAGCACCCCCATGCTGCTGCTGTGGGGACATGGACCTGAGGGAGCACAAATGCCATCAGCCCCTGGGGCCAGGAAGGGCTGGGGGACGCCAGGGAAACCACTCAGCTTTGTCCTGGCCTCTGCAGTCAGCCAGAAAGTTTGTTCCCTTCAGCTGGGAGTTTCCTGTCCCACTGCAGACGCTGCTGCTCAGAGCCAGGGCTGCCTGGCAGCCACCCCCAAACTGCCCTGAGCATTTCCTTGGCTTCACTTTTGCTTTCTTTACTCTTCCTGTTACAGATTTCTTCCTGCTGCCCGCCCCTTTTCCCTCTCCTGAAAGCTGCCCATCCCTGTTTGCTCTTTCCTCTCTGGCCTCCAGTTCCCAAAGTGGCACCACAACCTCTTTTAGGGAGCAGGATCATCCCACAAGTGCTTCAGGAATTGTCTGCAGGCCTCTGCAGTTCTCCCTGCTGCTCCCTTGCCAGAGGCACCCCAGGCCAGGGGGGCACATCTGGGCTGCTGTGTCTGGCTGTGGGGCTCCCTGTTCTGGGCAGTGAGGAGGAGCTGCAGAGGCTCTGCAGGACTGACAGGATGGGCTTTGGAGCTGTGAGGAGAAGCTGAGGGACCTGGGCTGCTGGAGCTTCTGAAGAGGAGGCCCAGGGCTCATCCTGCAACTGCTCCAAGGGTGGATTCAGAGAATCACAAAATCAGCAAGGTTGGAAAAGACCTTGGAGATCATCAAGTCCAACCTGTGCCCTGACACCGCCTTGTCTCATCTGAGCCTTCTCTTCTCCAGGATCAACAACCCCAGCTCCCTCAGCTGCTCCTCACAGAACTTTTGTTCCAGACCGCTCACCAACCTTGTTGCTCTTCTCTGGACATGCTCCACCCCTCCATGTCCTTCCTAAATTGGGGGGCCCAGAACTGGGCACAGCACTCGAGGTGCTGCCCAACCAGTGCTGAACACACAGGAAGAATCACTGCCCTGCTCCTGCTGGCCACACCATTCCTGATCCAGGCCAGGAGCCATTGGCCTTCTTGGCCACCTGGGCACACGGCTGGCTCATGTCCAGCCTGCTGTCCATCAGTCCCTGCAGGTCCCTTTCTGCCTGGCTGCTGTCCAGCCCCTCTGTCCCCAGCCTGTAGCGCTGCAGGGGTTGTTGTGGTCAAAGTGCAGGACCCGGCACTTGGACTTGTTAAACCTCACCTTGATGGATTTGGGCCCTGGATCCATCCTGTCCAGGGCCCTGTGCAGAGCCCTCCTACCCTCCAGCAGATCAACATTCCCAGCCAGCTTGGTGTCACCACGATTCCTTGAGGCCCCAGAGTGTCCCAATGGTCTCCATGACTCCATGAGGCCTCCCAGTGTCACAATGTCCCTTTGGTTCCATGGGACCCCTTGGTGTCACAAAGTCCCTTGGATCCTTGGGCCCTGCAGTGTCACAGTGGATCCTTGGTTCCATGAGGCCTGGCAGGGCAGCAATGCTCTCCTTGGTCCCACAGTGTCACAGTGGCCTCTTGGTCCCCAGGGACACTGTCAGTCTGTGGTGGTGGCGGCACAACTTTCCCTGGGAGTGTTTTGTGCTAACGGGCAGAGCCACGGGAGCCCAGCACACACACACACACACGGAGCAGCTCGGCAGTGAGGACACGGGAGGGCCCAGGCATGGAGCTCCAACGAGGGTTTATCAGGGTCTGACGCTCCAGGGCTCTGGGGGTTAAAGACAAAGACAAAGGAGGGTTTAGGGTGTAAATACGGGAAAAGAGGGGCTGGAGGAGAGCGTCAGGGATCTCAGGGTTTAGGGGTGGTACACAGGGAAAGGGACTAATAGGGAATGGCAGGGTGGACAGGCGGGGACATAAACCAATGGGAATAAAGGGAAGGGAGAACTTGCTAGAACATGAACATATCAGGGTAAAAGGGGTAGGAAAGGCCAACGGGCCAATGGGGACAGAACTGGGACAAATTAACACAGTGCTGCAGAGCTCCATGGGGGAAGCTTCTGTCCTCACCCTGAGCTGTGAGGAATGCCAAGAGCCTATGTGTTACGGTGAGCTCCTGGACACCCTTTTGTCCCCCCTTTCCTAGGGCCTCTGTGGCTCTGATCATGATAACCCCTGAATCCTCCCTCCTGCCCCAATGGGGTTGGCGGGGAGCCAGGAGTGCCCACCCTGTCCAAAACCCCTGAAACTTCCTGCTCTTTCTCTTTTGCCCCGCTCTCCATGGACACCACAGAATAAAGAGAGCTGTTCCAACACCCTGGGGTAAGGAGCCTCTTCTGTATACCTTTCCCTCTCCATGCTATTTCCTCCCCCCACAGCCCCATATCTCTGAGCTAGTCGGATTCATTCGGGGGGCTGCGTGGAGGGGGGGAAAACCAATAGAAATAACAGTTGGCGCCCAACGTGTGCTGCTCTGAGCCCACGAAGAAGCTGGACCCCCTATTTCAGTGGGAGGTCGAAAGCTTTTGGGACAAGTCAACTGCCCTAGTACTCTAGCTGCCTTTAAAAGCTTTGAGTCACGGGGCACAGTCGGGGACCTCTGCCTGCGTACCACAGGAGAGCCGACTGGAGAGGGAACCCCCAGAGAGGGTTTCACAGACGAATCCCGCAGTCACAGGCTTGGTAAATTCTCCGACGCGGCACCCGGGACCGCGCCTGGCGGGGAGGGGTTACCATAAGGGACTGCGGGGGGCTGCTTGCGGGAGGGGGAGCCAGGGCCCCACTGCGAGTAAGCGGGAACCGGTGGGCTGCGCATACCCACGTTCCACGGGGAACAGGCATGGGACGAGAGGGCTGAAGCCGCCCCAGCAGCTGCGGGACGACTGCCCCTCCCCCTGTGCCCCCCCGCTTGGGTTTTCCACGGAGGGAAATTCGAATAATTCCACGGAGGGAAATTCGAATAATTCGTGCTGTGTTATTAGCTCTGGTGGAGACTAGACCAGTGAAACAATTAAAAATCATGGGTACTAACATTTCACTTGAACAGAAGAGTATACTAACACATCTTAGCAATAACTTAAACGATGTATCATTCTCTACCAAGCTCCTCCTGCGTTTTGTGTGCTGGCTAAAGACAGAAATACCAAATTTTACTTTGCAAGACCTGAATTTGCTTGCTTTTTGGAATCAAATTGGGCAGATATTAACTTTAAAAGTCGAAAATGGTGAACATAAAGTTTCTCGATTTATTCCGATATTTTTACAAGCACGGAAAAATATTTTAGAAGCAGAAAAGAGCATGCAAACGCAGATCCACAGTTCTAACACCCCCTTTTCCCCTTCCTGCCCACCTCCTCAATACCCCAGCCCTGAAAACCCCTCACCCACCCCTTATTCCCCTCTGACACCTTGTTTTTCGGAGAGATACAGCCCGGAGTTTATCTTAAAGAGCTCCGCGGCATCTCTGGAACACACGCGGCCAGATAATGGCGGCCGCCATTGTGCTTCTGCCGGCGCCGGCGGCTCCACCCCCCACTCCCCCTCCCACTCGCATTCCTTTGCTTCCCCCGCCCTCCGCCACCCCCTCCGCCCCCACCCCCTCCTCCCTCCCCTCCTCCGACGCCTGCTTATCTCCCATAGCAACACCCCACCCTCCTTATCAGTGCCAGCCACCGGGTTGCCCCGGGAACAGGGGCGGGGCCGGCCCCTGCACTCCTCCAAGCCCCAGCGCCGAGGACGGCAGGGCGGAGGCGGGGCACAGCAGCCCCGCGGCTCACAGCAGGGCGGAGGCGGGGCACAGCAGCCCGGCAGCTCAGAGCCGGGGCGGGGCCCGAGTCTGCACCGCGGAGCAGACAGCCCGAGGGGGGGGGGCGAGCTGCCCCTCACCGAGGTGGGGGGTGCGCGGGACGAACACAAGCCTGCCCCTATCGAGAAATCAATACCATCGGTAACTCCAGTGGTTTATTTAGGGAGAAGGAATGGTACAAGAACATACCAACCTCTCCCATACAGGGACAAAACAGAAATCTGTAAGGTTCAGAGAGAATTTGGGAGATCGAGTGAGATTTTTAAGGGTCTGATGAGGGCAACATTCAATTCAAATGAAATGGTGCCAAAAGATATAACTGATTTGTTTAAATGTTTACTAACATCCTCTGAATATGAGATATGGGAAAGTAAGTGGAAATTGGCTTTGGAAACAGTGTTGCAAGAAATACAGCGTACACCCAGTGATGCCACCGACATGGATGGCCAGCCCCTTACAATACACCATTTGTGTGGGACCGGAGACATACAATGTCCAGAAAAACAAACCAGACTGTTATCTAGATCAGTTTTAGAAAAAATCTGTACTGCTGCAGAAAAGACTCTGTATCAATTACCAGGCTCTGAGGTTGAATGCAGCTATATTAATATCAAACAGTTTCCTTCTGAGAGTTTTTTGCAGTTTGTGGATCGTTTGAGAAGCCAAGTCGAACAACAGGTGCAACACACCAGTGTGCAAACAGAGTTGATTAAAGAACTGGCCCAGAGGAATGCAAATGAGACCTGTCGTAGGATTCTTCTCAGCCTTCCTCTTGATCCAGCACCTACTCTTGGCCAGATGATCGAGGCCTGCGCTAAGAAAGCAGAGCTGCTTGATAGTCCTGTCAGTCATAGAGCACCAGCAGAATTACAGCCTGTTGCCACTGCTACATCAAACCCAAGGAAGCCACCCAGATCATCACAACAGCTGCAGCAAATCATCTGCCTGCGTTGCAAGAAACCAGGACACTTTGCCAGGAACTGTCCTCAGAACCAGAACCAGAGACAGATCAACAAACAAAAAAACTAAATGCACAGCGCGGACCTACTGCTACACGCAAAGATATAAATGTAGCAGGACCAAAATGTGACAATGCCTCTCTCTTAACAAATAAGGGGGAGGGTGGGTACAATGGTGGGGGGGGGAGAGA